GTGTTAAAATAATTAGTGGCGTTCATTTTTGTTTGCTTTAACGCGTTATTAACGCGTTATTAACGCGTTAACTTGACAGCCCTAGTATTTATTAACTCTCACTTGATGCAAATGACACAGTAGACAGTTACGTTACAGACGGACAACCTAACATATTGGTCTCTGGAAAACAGCAAGATTACTTTTCCAAAAGCTAAAAAAAAAGGATTAAAATTAAACTCAGGTTCATTTGTATAGTTGTTTACACTTTAGACTCTATAACAATTCAGAAAAAGAGAAGGAAACCAATAGCAGTCACATTTTCAAGATGTACTGCTTAATTATATTGCTTTCCTGCAATGTTAACTATGTTGAAGCACTTATTTGAACTGATATTATACATATGAATTATACTCTTATGTATGTAGATAGAATAAGAAATGTGCAGAATATGACCAGTTTAATGGTGGAAGTTCACACATATTGATAGATGTCTTGTAATGCACTGTTGAGGAACCTGCGACCCAAGTTTTTCATTCATTGCATAACACCGTAGTTGTGTATATGATATGTCAATAAAACCTTTGAAAATCTTGAAATCTTGAAAGGGATGTGCAAAATAGTCATTATATACAGTCTTTAATGAACTATTAGTAGAGAATAACGAGTAATGAATATACTTTATTACTCGTTTCCATTCATGTCAATTGCAGATAAATGTTTAGTCTTCTCAAGCACCAACTATCAAATATCTCGCCTGATTGTTGGCACTTGACAATCACCTTACCTGAATTTTACTCAGGTGTAACTAAAGTCTGCTTTAAGGGTTGTTTATATTTCACATAATTAATCAGAATCTGCAAAGTAACTCAAATAAATGTAGTGAAGTAAAAATACCAGGTTAACCTCTGAATTGTAGTGGAGTAGAATTACAAAGTAACAATGAGCTGTCATGTGGGTATTGATGCTGCCCATACAAGCAATTTTCACCCATTTAATAATTACATGTTTTAAATGTGTACACACCAATGTGTTTCCTATCCCCTAAACCTCCAGGGCTGTACACAGTTTAATACTGTCAACTTCTAATTTTGGGAAAAACGAAAACGTCTTTTAAAACTACAATTACAAGACAATAAATGGCAAAGATATGTAGAAATAAACGTATTTAAGATACGTTCATAACGAACGTAACGTGGGAGAAAATACGTTTCTTGCTAAACGTAATTGAGAATGCAGTTTAGTTCTGTGGGAACGTAATTTTTAGGAGACAGGGTTGCTTAATCAGTGTTCAAACTGTTTAAACACACATGTATAAATATAAGGTCTGCTAGATTACTAGTATCATGTAGCTAACGTATGCTGAAGCTTGTAATTTATAAATTCCAAGACAGAAAACTATTTTTAAGCTTGTCAAAGTAGCCCACATATGTACAATATATTGTTTAACATGTTGATAATATTCCTTTTATTCATATTTAACTTCTGCTTCATTGTCATCATAAGTTAGTGTTTTGTTAAAGTACTCATTCCATAACTTAAATAGATTTTTTTGTAATTTGTGAAACTGATTTGATATCACTGATGTGTATTGTTTGTAAGTAACCATATCATTAAATAAAGTTATTCAGTTCATTACCTGTTACTGATTGTCAACATTTCTAAGCCAGGTGTTTAATGTTTAAGTGACGAGGGAGCCAGAGGGACATCCTAATAGTTTCATAAGGTGCTTCATCTCAAAACAGTGTATTATTATGAACGCCTAATGTGACTATGACTACATTGGTGAGAGCTATGATGGCTCATGGATGTCTATAAAAACAAAGGGGCGGAGGTTCAGTCCCCTGCAGTCAACATGTCAAACTGTCCTTTGGCAAGATGTATAAGCCACATTGGGTCCTGCATGTCTACCGTATTGAAGTGTAGGTATTGCTTTGGATAAAAGTGTCAGCTAAATTACATTTAACGCAAGGCAAGTTTATTTATATAGCACCTTTCAACACAAGGCAATTCAAGGTGCTTTACAAAAATGAAAGACATTCAGACAAAGGCATTTAAAAACAGTAAAAGATAATAAAAGAAACATGAAAAGAAAAAAATCATGAATAAAAAGTACATGAATAAAAAGTTACAGTGCAGTTTAAGATATGAATAGTTCACACAGAAGTTCCACTTTACTGATGAACACAACGGCTCAGTTTCAATTAAAAGCAGCGGCAAAAAGAAAAGTCTTCAGCCTGGATTTAAAAGTAGTCAGAGTTGCAGCGGACCTGCAGGTTTCTGGGAGTTCCAGATATTTGGAGCATAATAACTGAACGCTGCTTCTCCATGTTTAGTTCTGACTCTGGGGACAGAAAGCTGACCAGTCCCTGAAGACCTGAGAGATCTGGATGGTTCATCATTTAGCAGGAGATCAGAAATGTATTTTGGGCCTAAACCATTCAGTGCTTTATAAACCAGCAGCAGTATTTTTGAAATCTATTCTTTGACACACAGGAAGCCAGTGTAAAGACTTCAGAACAGGAGTGATCCACTTTCTTAGTGTCAGTGAGGACTCGAGCAGCGGCGTTCTGAATCAGCTGCAGCTTTCTCATAGAATTGAGACCTGTGAAGACACCATTGCAGTAGTTCAGTCTACTGAAGATAAAAGCATGGACAAGTTAGTAAGTAATACTAACACTATTAGCATCACAGTATACTTGAAGAACGAAATGAAAAGTTCTGTACTTAGGGGAGAGTGGGGTAATATGAGCCAATGTCAGCATTTACATCCTCTTCCTCATCCTCAATTCCATCAGGACCCTCAGCCTCAACTCCCTCAGCATTTACATCCTCAGCTTCCTCAGCCTCAACTCCCTCAAAATGTATATATGAAAACTTCAAATTACACTTTAATAATATAAGTATATTGATTTACAGCCCAGAAAGTTACTGCACATGAAGTACTTTCAAAAACAACAGTAGCAGTAACTGTATGAATTGTAGTTCAAATATAGCGATTGATGCATGACGTCCACTTTAGTGGACAGATGATTAATCATAATTTCCTCCCAACATAAAATCACTACTTTGACATGTTATGCATTATATGATTCCTTAGTCGTTACTTGATGTCACAAACATTTGTATATCTCCAAGGGTCGCTTTCCATTGAAGGATTTGCAAGATATTGATGAGTGACTGGGTCAGTCATCAATAGGGTCTGGCTGTCTGTCGACCATCTTGGTTTTGATAAATGGATCCTGCACTTACAACGACTTGCCACTGAGTGGCAGTGTATGGGATGATGCCATAGCGTCCACTGTAGTGGCTGATGCGCAACTATGCCATCAAAACCCATGCATATACAAGAAAACATCTTTTGAATATCTGTCCACTGTAGTGACCTCTATCCGTAAAGGGTGTTAGAGTCGGTGAGGGCTGATAATTTATTCCGGGAAATTACTCTGACCTACTAATTGACCTGACCGCAGTTATTGAGTCTGTGTACGTTTACTGCTTGGCTCAGATCCACCAACGTCAGCAAGATCTCACCTCTATTAACTCCTGAAGAACCAGGTTTAATTAACTGCTGTTTCAATTCAGACAACTCTCTTAAATCTGTTTAAGGGATCCCGAAGGATTTTGATATCAGTAAATGAGGTGTGGCCCTACCTAAGTGTGAGTGTGGCAGGGTGCAATCTTACCTTTTGAGCAGGAGAGGAGAGCGCAGATGTCTTTTAAGTTGTCCCAGTCCAAAAGGTGGGATCAGTTTATTTGAAGAAAAATAGGTCCAAACTAATACAGGGTGTTTACCTTCTCTCTTTACAACATTATAATCATACTAAACCTATCATGCTGTGATCATGTTCTAATATGAAACTTGAATTCACAGTTTTACATTTATTACCATAAATTGTAATTTCAACTGCCCAATTCAGTTGTGATTTTTATAGAATTGTAGAGGTCTTACCCCATAAAAGTCCAGTGTTAATAAAAAGCTCATTCAAACCTTCATTCACCAAAACAGTTCATTTTCTCATTTCGACATTTGTATACTTCAACTAGTCCCGCATGAATTCGGAGGACCCGTCATCACAGGTGGCAGGGTACTAACTTTCAACAAACATCAATTAATTCCACAATTCACATTCGTATACTTCAACTCACAAAGAAATTCACTCAGCATTCAACCAAGAAATTTGAGAGATATTTACCAAGTCTGACAGAACCTTACAGAGAGCAAAAACCCAGCTCTGAGGGACAGAGCTTACCGGGAGAGAGTATACCAGGGGAACCCCCCTCTCCGCCAGTGTCTTTATGCTCAACAACAGGATATAGAAACCTAAAGACACCTCCTCTATACCCATATTTGTGGAAACTGGGCATGGCCTCTGATGTACAGGACTGGACATGACCAGACATATTCTATTGGCTATGGCATAAGACACACCTTCCCATGTTTGTGTAAAAAGGACAAGACCCCTGCAGGACTTGCAAAATATTATTCTCGGCTACGACATAACAACTTTTTTGAGGCCTTAATGTATTTCTCCTTAAGTCAGGAGCCCCCCTCCTTGTGCACCGCTGTAGGGAGAGAGGGAAGAAACTGCCTTCTCCCTTATCAGTGACACCCATAAATCATTAGGCCTCACACTCAATTTAACAAACCACTTGTGTTTTGTTTATACTGTAAATATAGAAAAACCTAAAATATGAAGCATTTTCATTGTGGGTTATACAAGAATATAATTGAGTATATTTGATTATAACTAACTTTCGTTTTAATTATTCAACCTGATATGGAGATCTCAACAAGGGCTAGAATAAGCCAGTAACTGCATGGAAAGTTTGCAAAACAACGGTAATTTCATAATTTCAATTTGGGGATTCCCAACATCCAGCAACCCACTAACGAAGTAAAGAGGAAGGAAGCCAGGCCTTCTTCTATCATCTGTCTCGTAATGTCACCAGATAACAGAAGTTTTGTTTCAACACCACATCCTTCTCTGTTCTGAGCAGAGCATATTTAAATAACAGGTAACACACAGTACCTTCTGACATGCTTATACACACAAAGAGACGAGTTGAGCAGCGATGAGTCTAACAGCAGCAGTGCGTGGGTTTATTCTCCTTCTTATCTCTCTACAAGGTACTGTACATCTTCATTTGTATTTCTAAAGATCTATTCTACAGGACTTGTTGTTCCTTTTTCATATGGTACACTTACCCTAATTAAAGGACCGTGAGGCTAGGTAGATTTAAGCTGAGAAAGGTTGAGTGATTACCCGTAATGAGTCACTGGAGCCCCTATAGATTTGATCATCTATTTGATATTAACCTTTAAAATCATGCAACACAACACAATCGTTGAAATTGGAAATTAAAAATGAACTTATTTGAGTTGTATGTATCTTAGTGGAGGAAGACATCAGTCTTGGTCGTTTAGAAAAAAAATACAATTCCATTAGTATAAAGCAACATGTCTAAGAGATTTAAGTGTTTCCTTAGCTTAGAGTTTGGTTCTGCTACGCTTATACGGAGAAGGAACAACATGTGTTCATAGACAAAAGGCTCAAAACATAAGACTTAAAAAACATAAAATGCTGATTTAAAAAAGAAAATGCCCTAAGTGCTTGAAAGGCAGACAATCCAGACAGTGCCATGGACCTGGTTGAGCCATTTATGCTCCCCTAATAAGACATTATATTAACAAGATTAAAAGTTTCACATCTCTTTTTGTTGCATGTCTCTAACAACTCATTCTCTACTTCTTCTTTTCTGAAAAGCACTTTCCTGTTACCTCACCGATCCTTCAAACACTATGATGCCCTGCTTCATTGTTACTCAGATAGATAACTGAAGAAATGCACGATGCTTAAAGGAATACTTTAAATGGAAATGAGCATTTGTATATCAATATAAACAAGTCAGGTAAAATGGAAGTGAAAGGGGGGCTGCGTTTAACAAAAGACAAAACTGAATAAAAACATTGATTTATAAGCTTCAAACAACTCGTGCATTATAATCAAAGTGTATTCATTTCTGTGCTCACTACTTCCAAAAAGCTTGCATTCTTGACTCTTAATCACACTTCTGCAAAAACATTCACGCTCAACCCTGTCTCCCACGTTACGTTTGTTATGAACGTATATCTCAAATACGTTTATTTTCTACATATCTTCTAGAAACATATTTTCTCCCACGTTGCGTTTCTTATGAACGTATCTCAAATACGTTTATTTCTACATATCTTTGCCATTTATTGTCTTGCTTATAATAATGATAATAGTCATTTATAAATATCATTTTAGAGCACACATTTGAAATCAGTAGGCGAGGCTGTAATTTCGCCAGCTGTTACTCTGATGAGCGAGGCAGAACATAATAGTTTTAACTTGCCAATAAGCTGCTGTGTCGTTTATTGCACCTCAAACATTAAAACAAATCCAGAGTTACGTGTTTCTGTACTTCCTCTAAGAAGAAAGGACAGTAACAGAAGATCTCTGTGACGCCAGATGTGGTGTTGTTAATGCAATATTTTATCCGAAAAAAAAATCAGTTTAGGATGGCCGAAGACACTACACTACCCATAATCCCCAGCTATCGTTTGGGACTACAGTCCCGTTGACAAACCCCGTGATTCATCTTCAAGCTCTGGGATTGGATGTTGGAGTGGCAGTGCGCCAAGGTTAAGCCAAGCGTCAAGCTCTTTGAAATGGAACGAAACCACGGCAGACTATTCAAACCTGGACTCGAACGCCCAGTACTCGAGTTGAGGGGGGATGAGGGGGGATGACATCCCCCCTGAAATAAAAACGGTCAAAATCATCCCCCTTCTAAAACAGCCATTCCCCCTTTCCATCCCTTATGTAATTGTATCAATGAACGTGGCACTGGTATTACTACTATTTCATCATTAATTTTGCGCATTTTGAGTAAAATACTGTGGGCGAGTGAGCACGCACACACGCAATGACATTTTTACCAAGTCACTGACGCTATACTATGCGAGTGCCCTAGAGGGCGCCAGAGCGCCGTGATGCGCCTGTTTGATCGATGCCAGAAGCGCAGGTAACGGTCATCACAATGGCCAAGCGACCAGGAGGACAACGCGATCTGAGGGACTTCATATTTAAAAATACTAAAATAAAATTTCAGGTAAATCAAGAGTCAGTAATCTTAGTCATTACTCACTACTTTAGTCACCAAAGGTGGAATCTATGGACATAAGCAGCAATAACAACTTAGTTTGGAGTTTAGCTACGTTTTTCTCTCGTGTTAGCTAGCTGGTAAGACTCAAAACTGTTGATGAAATGATACCACCAGCACCAGAAGAGCTGAAACCTCTCCTTCAAGCAGTGAACACTTCGGTCATCTCCACAGCTGAGTGTTAACGTGGGTTTAGTCAGATGAACATTTTAACCACAACTAGAAGCTCCCTAGAGGTAAAAAGCATGTCAGCCTGGCTTTTCATCAAGTGTGTTGGCCCTCCACTGATCAAGTTCAGAACTTCAGATATGGAGTCAGATTTGGGTCAATATTCTAGCGCGTAAAACAAGCTACTCACGAGCGGAAAATGTGCTCTGTGCCCGCGAGCGGCTCTGCGCTCGCTCGCGATAGAGACAGCCCTCTTGCTTGCTCGCGGGAGTGTCAGCCTCGCGGAGTCTGTCTACGCGCGCGTGAAAAGTTTCTGGCACTTTGGGGCGGAGCCACTGGACTTTGATTGACAGCTGCCAGGAAGCCCGGAGTTGCCAGGTTTGATAAATGCCTGAACTACCAAGAGCCGAGGAGTGACAGCTGCAAGATCAGTTGGACGAGATTAGATTGAATGTGTCCATAAAAAACTATTATATTCGTAAAGTGTACAGCTAATATATATATTAATTAATTTTATATAAAACAATATATTTTTGAGTGGGCTGTATCTGTCGAAAATTGCATATATATAAATTAATTTGATATAAAACAATATATTTTTGAGTGGGCTGTATCTGTCAAATTGCTAGCTACTGTCTGCTGTACACTCTTAGAAGGGATGTGTCAAAAATGACACAACATGTGTTGAATTTCAACACGCCTACAGAGTGTGCTCAGGGACAACACGTGTTGTGTTTATTTATGTGTAAATCATTTTTACACACAAAATGTGTTACATGCCCCTAACACACAATGTGCACATTTTACACATTGTGTGTCATAAATGTGTAACCAAGATGAACACACTCATTTGTTATTTCTGCACATTTTGTGTTATATTTCTTTAACCAGAATTAACATTTGATGGTGTTATATCTGCACATTGTGTGTCAATGACGATTACTGGAAGTACCAGGTGGTGGATATGGTTTTTATTCAAAAAATCGAATGCAAGAATACATTCATTGGACATTTATTTACAAGGATTTCATTAGCACAATATGTCATTAAGAAAATAATTGTTAACATTTAAAAACATTAATATTTTTCTAATTCATCAAATGTTGACAGAATAGATAATTCATAAAATCACACCTAAAAAAACTTTATACCTTGGTTAAAACAAACTTAATCTTCAGCAAACTATTGTTGTAAATGACTTTCAGCTGAGGGAATATAGTGATGAGATTCTTCACAAGGACCACCTTTTCAGTGTTGGATGGATAATTAAGGATAAAAATGAATGACAAGTGAGCTATTTATTTTTTATTTTTCAAAAAGAATACAAAAAGTTCTAGCATACAAATATTACAAATGCGTGATAATAAAGCAATTGGTAATAAAGAATGTCCTTTTATATCAAGCAAATAAAAAAATAATTTTTACAACCAATATATCACTTAAATGCAACAATTATATATACACACATTTCACATTCATATACCTACAATGCCTCTCCACCAAGTCAGAGATGCAAACTTTGACAAGTTTAAGCCTGGTCTTCTCCATAAGAATGCCATTAGTTTGCAGTTCGTCAAATACTTCTGGAATTTTCTTCTTCAGTTATAGGCCATTCAGAAGAACTGTAAAACGATTCCATACATGGGCACACAGCATAGCTGTTAAGGATCCGAAATATTTTTACTTAGCTTATAAATGTAGGCTAGGTGCGTACAGCAGACAGCAGCTAGCAGTTTTCGACGGATACAGCCCACTCAAAAATATATTGTTTTATATAAAATACATTTTTATATATATATATATATATATATATATATATATATATATATATATTAGCTGTACACTTTACGAATATAATAGTTTTTTATGGACAATTTTACCATTCAATCTCGTCCAACTGATTTTGCTGCCGTCACTCCTCGGCTCTTGGTAGTTCAGGCATTTATCAAACCTGGCAACCCCGGGTTTCCTGGCAGCTGTCAATCAAAGTCCAGTGGCTCCGCCCCAAAGTGCCAGAAACTTTTCACGCGCGCGTAGACAGACTCCGCGAGGCTGATACTCCCGCGAGCAAGCAAGAGGGCTGTCTCTCTCGCGAGCGAGCGCAGAGCCTCTCGCGAGCGAGCGCAGAGCCGCTCGCGAGCGGGCGCAGAGCCGCTCGCGGGGGTTTAATCTGCGCGCGAGGGTCATTTTATGCGCGTGTAAAAGCACATTTTCCGCTCGTGAGTAGCTTGTTTTACGCGCTAGAATATTGACCCAAATCTGACTCCATATTCAGACCAGATGTATATGTCAAGACTTGGCTTCAAAGCCATTGCTTAGCTAACAATCCGAAAGCAAGAGCCAGAAAAATTGAGACCAAAAAGCATGATTATGAAAATCTTTGGAAACTTCTATGAGATGGGGGAGAGTGGAGTAGGCAGCCATTGACAACATTGGTCCTATTTTGTATTATCTGTATAATCTTTTAATATATCTTCATATGTTGTAAACAATTTCAATTTGCACTTAATGCCCTGTTAAAAAAAGTAACATTGGGAATGTTAACATAAAATATTTGTATTTGAACTGCAATAAAATGATGACGGATCAATATTTTTCAAATTGTTTTCCTCAAATTGTTCATGAAGTGTTTAATTTACATAATGATTTGATTAATTACAAATGTAACCCTTTAGATACCAGTTTTGATCGTATACCAGTAACTGCTTTTTTGAAAAGATACACTATAATTCAATATTCTAAAAACTATTTTGACTTTATTATTAGTATAAT